TGAAGCTCGACGAGAAGCCAATGGTTACGTTCCAAAACAGGGATAAACACCTGCAATCATAAGTAATAATTCATTCATTTGCGCACTTATTTATGAATACCTTTAAACTCAATCTAAAATAAACACTAACCTTATCGACCTCCCACCATGCAGGATAAAGTTTAGCTTGTCCATTGCCCAACGCAAATGATTCATCTCGTTGATTCTTCAAGTGAACTGCGTTAAAAGCCGTCGGCATTATTGTATACCGTGTATTTCTTTTATTTTCCTTAAGTTTCCTAATTATTAGTAGACGTGACACCCACGCATCGATATGTTGTTTTACAAAAAAAATACATATATTAGTGAATTACATTAATTTTTAAACAAATTAATCAAATGAAAATATAAGAAAATATAAGACTTACCCCTCCATCGAAATAGCCATTGTCTTTGACCCCTAATAATACGCCCCACCAAGACCGATCAAGCAACAAATAGATATCATCATTGAGCTTGCATCTGTCAGTGAAACACCCCTGGCTTCGCTCATGTAGATAAAAATCAACTGCGATCTTAGCCCAAAGGGTGTTATCCAGAATTGTGTCCGGTAGTTGTTTCCTCTCCTCTTCAGATACCGGTATGGTACTGGCCGGTAACTCATACGAGAGCCAACTTGAATCCATCATGTTCGGCACGTCAGAGGGTTTCTCAAGAATCCTACATATGACGCCATGTGAATCGGGCTCTTGAATGGTGGGAGGGACCTCTTCAACGATGACAGTGGCCTCTTGAACGGTGGGAGGGGACTCTCGAGGAATGATAGGGGCCTCTTCAACGATAGGAGTGGACTCTTGAGGGATGATAGGCGAGTCGGGCTTCTTCTTGCGGTGTCTTCGCACTATTGGGGTATACGGAGACTTAATAGCACGTGCACGCCGTCTGATGCGTGAACTCTGTCGTGCAAGAAAAACCCGACGTAAAGCATCCACCTTATCGGTCCGCTAAATAAAAATACAAATATCAGTAAATAAACAGACATGATATTTAAACAGTGAAAACAAAGATAAATATATTTCAAACTTTCAACCAAAAGACAAAACAAAGACAAATACTAACTTCACAGTGTTAAAGTAAAAAGTTTAGCAGTTTTGGCAGCAACCGAATAAATTTACTAAGCAATCTAAGTGAAATGGTTAATTTAAGTGAAATTACGAGTAAATTTATCATCAAGTTAAATATGGAAAATCTTAAACTTACCTCGTTGCGTAGAGTATGAACCTCATTCTGCAACGATACTACCATCTCACGTAGAGCGGCAACCTCACCACGTAAAGTAGACACCTCCACACGCCATGCACCATCGTTATCGCGTAGAGTACCGATCTCCTCACGCAAGGCATTGACCTCATCACGTAACTCCCTTGACTCATCCCGTGGAGGTGGAGAACAGGGAGATAGAAGTCGTGGCATCTTTGTCGGTCGCCTATCATGAGGTGATGGTGGAGAAGAGACTCGATGATGTGACGGGATAGGTGATGGCTCTCGTTGTAGAGGTGTATAGTCGGGTCGATCAGGTGATGGCTCTGGGTGAGGTGATGGCTCTCGAAGTGGAGGAAGTGGAGGCTGCTCATCATTCGTGCCATCAAAAAAATGCTGACTAGCTTGCCACCAATCAGTGGCAAGCTCAGCCTCTGTGGGTGTCAGTCTCATTAATGGAGTGTTGGCCTCCTAAAAATATAAAAACTAAAACAAAGTTAAACGTCTACTATTAATAACTTGTTTATATATGATAGTATTTGTGTTAAGTTAGATTATTTATTGTAGCATATGGTATTAAGTCTTCCCAATCCAACATACGTTTCCTCTTCCAGGAAATAGCCCTAGGAATATCATCTGAGGATTTTAATGCATATGTCTGCATGCTGGGGAAAGCCTCGAATATCCAAATCTACAAACAATATAATAACAAACATTAGTAATTGTTAAATAATTAATTATAATTTTGAAAACATTATATAGAAATTCTTACCTTAAAGGCCCAAACAAAGCCTGACAAAGTGTATTTCGACCCATCGCCCCGCAAACTTTTGCGGTCATCAAAGGCAGACGACAACTTAGTCCAGGTAGCTTTCCATATATACGAACCCCACGGAAACAGATTCCATGCATTTAGGTCCTCTACCAATAATATTAGCTCCTGAGGAATAGGTTGTCTGGCCTCTCTGCCTAGAAAGCCGGCATACAAAAGTAGTAGAAGGCCTACTCGGACAACATCGACGTCATTCATCCGAGTAAAACCATCTTTCTTATTAAACAATTTCTTCATGTCGTTGACGTGTAAGTTCGGCTTCTCTATTGACTCATCAGGAAAAACCCTGGATAACCATGATGGGCGGGTGATATGACGAGTGTACCGGCCTACATCATCGTGTCCGAATCGTAGACCAGTGATTAAGCAGAACTCCTTCCGCCCACAAGTATACGCCGGTGGAAAATGAAACCATATTTCTTCCTCACCACGTTGTATACTGTCAGGTAGATCGCTAGTCATGGTCTGAAGCCACAAATGGGTCAAACTAGCATCTCCACCCGGATGCTGTACTCTCAGCCATGGCCCGAAGCAGGTTTCTTCAAACAATTTTCTTTGTGCAGGTGAAAGCTTCGAAGCAATTGTAGTGGCTAGGCTAACTTTATTCCTTAATGTCAATGAAGCCGAAAAAAATTTCTACAAAAAAACAATAAACATACCAAGTTAGATATACCAAAAATTACACTGTCAAGATATACCAAAAACAAAACAATAAACATAAATAGTAGTTTATTCTTGAAACTAAAATTTGCAACACTGTTTTGTCTTTTGGTTGAAATGAAAATCGCAACGAGATAATGAGAATCGCAACGCGGAAATGACTATCGCAACGAGAGAATCGCAACGCGAAATGACTATCGCGACCAGACAATCGCAACGCGAAATAAAAATCGCAACGCGAAATGAAAATCGCAACGCGAAATGAAAATCGCAATGCGATTTTGGTTTCGCGTTGCGATTTTATTTCGCGTTGCGATTTTTATTTCGCGTTGCGATAGTTATTTCCGCGTTGCGATTTTCATTCTCGAAACTATTCTTCTTCTGCATTACTTCAACCAAAAGACAAAGCAAAGACAAATACTAACTTCACAGGCTAAACAGTTTAGCAGTATTGGCAGCAATCGAATGAATTTAATAAGAAATCTAAGTGAAATGGTTAATCTATTATTGAAATTACCAGTAAACTTATCATCAATTTCAATATGAAAAACCTAAAATAATGCAAAAATTTCAAAATAAAAATAAAAAAAACTAACCCTCGGAGGTTGATTTTCCATTTCTGAATGATTGTGAGGGATTTTTGACTGTGAATGGTTGTGAGGGATTTCGCCGGCGATGGGGACGGAAATCTTCGGAGATGGGGACGGATTTCGCCGTAGAGAGTGAGAGATGGATGGGACTGAGTGTTGTGTTTTGGGTTTGAGGTTATGAGTTGCGATTACTGTGGACGGTTCATTTTCCGATTTATTAAGAAAAAATACGTGTTTGGAATTTGAAAAAAAAATACGCGTTAATACGAATGGCGCTATGTAAATCGCGTTGCGAAAGTCAGTATCGCGTTGCGAAAGTAAGTATCTCGTTGCGATTTTTTATTATCGCATTGCGATAGTCAGTATCGCATTGCGATTTTCCCAATTCGCGTTGCGATTTACTTATTCGCATTGCGATTTTCCCAATTCGCGTTGCGATTTTCCCAATTCGCGTTGCGATTTACTTATTCGCATTGCGAATTGGGAAAATCGCAACGATACTGTAGACCATCGCAACGCGATTTTCAACTATCGCATTGCGAAAATGCAACGCGAATTTGCGATAATGGAGATCGCGTTGCGAATTAGCGATCGCATTGCGATTTTGTTGGTCATTTTGACAAATCCGGAAAAAGTTGGTTAAAATCGTATATTATATGGGATTTTTGGTCACTGAGGTTATTTTCTCGAGAATAAATCGTTAGCCGACATGACACTGTTTTTTTTATTAAAAAAAAAAGTAGACATGACACTTTCATTATTAGGCAATGAGATGTGACAAATTTTTTTTTTAAAAACAATTTAAAATACAATTAAAAGTTAAAATGTTGAAAGCATCCTGTCAATTTATTTAAATTAAGGGTAAATTACAAAGTTTGTCATTTTTGTTTCATTTTTATAAATGTCTGGTCACTCGATTTAAAAAAACTTAATTCGTAATCACTTTCGTTTTGTTTTAATCAATATATGATCACTTTCAATTCGTTTTAATTAAGATGTAATCACTTACCTAAACAACCGTTAAAAATTTAACGATTTGATGACGTGACACGTTAATAAAATGATTTAATTTTTATTTTAACCTTTACACTTTAGATAAAATTTCCTATTATTAAAAATATAAATGAATAAATCCCTATTTAGACTTTCAAATTTTGATTTATTTTGATTTTGTTCTCTCTATTTTTCATTATTAGTTATATATATTTTGTCCCCCAAACTAAAATATTGTTCATGGAGACTTTCTTTCTAGTGTTTGAATTTCTCATATCATAATTTTGATGCTAAAAACAAGCTATTCATCGGTGTGGATCTGAGTTTTCAATTGAAATAAGTGATTGGGAGCAAAGTTTTGGCTCTCTCCACTGTTTATTTTTATGATCGATTATGACGTTTGTACTGAAATTTGGAAGTTTTCTGATTTAATGTTTAATATTTGAAAGTAATGTGTCGGATGGTAGAAAATATCCACTTTCGTTTGTATTATTGAAAATAAAATTTTCTGATCTTAAAATAAGGCATACTAAAAAATCATGAAATTTATCAGAAAATATCCACTTTCGTTTGTATTATTTAAAAGAAAATTTTCTGATCTTAAAATAATACATACTAAAAAAATCATGAAATTTATTAGAAAATATCCACTTTCGTTTGTTTGTGAGGTGGGGAAATGTATCTTTTATATCTGGTCATCATGTCTCTTGTTAACTGCAACTAGAGGCAGTAACAAGCAAGAAGATGGAAAATGGTTCACGTCAGTGGCGTTTCCAAGGGAACAAAAGGCTGAGCCTGACATCGGCGATCAGCCTACGAGGAATTGTCGAGATGTTAATGGGAAATCTCAGCACTGATGATCCAAGACCCACCATTCCCCTTGGCAACGGCGATCCGTCACAATTTCCATGCTTTAAGACTCCCACGACAGCCGAAGAGGCCATAGTCGATGCCCTTCACTCGGCCAAGTATAATGGCTATGCACCTACTTCTGGAGTTCCCTCTGCCAGAAGGTACAAATATAAAACAAATTACTCTGTCATTCAAAAATGTTCTGTATGAATTAATGCTTGCTAGATTCAACAGGGCTATTGCAAATTATCTTAATCGTGACTTACCATACAAGTTATCTGCGGATGATGTTCATCTTACAAGTGGATGCTTACAAGCAATTGAAGTTGCATTAGCAGCCATTACTCAACCTGGCGCCAGCATTCTGCTCCCAAGACCAGCCTTCACATTCTATGAATCTCGTGCTGCATATGAAAATCTCCAAGTCCGTCAATTCGATCTTCTTCCCGATAAGGGTTGGGAGGTTGATATCGATGCCGTCGAAGCTCTAGCGGATGAGAACACGGTGGCGATGGTTGTTATAAACCCTGGCAATCCTTGTGGAAGTGTCTACAGCTATGACCATCTGGAACTGGTAAATTAAATGGTATTATTATTATTTAGAATGGCAGCAGAAATTGTTGATTGTTTGAAATAGGTTGCAGAGACAGCAAGAAAGCTTGGAATTCTGGTAATTGCTGATGAAGTTTATAGTCATATTACGTTTGGAAGCACTCCCTTTGTGCCAATGGGAGTATTTGGATCAATTGTGCCGGTTCTGTCTCTGGGGTCCATATCAAAGAGATGGGTTGTTCCTGGTTGGCGACTTGGTTGGCTTGCAACTACTGATCCTAATGGCATTCTTCAAAAATCTGGGGTTAGCCTTCATTCTTTTCTCTGGCATATGACAATTGGAAAGACAGAAATCATAAGATACTAATCCATGGCATTAATGTTGGTGTTCCATTACTGTCAGATAGTGGAATCAATTACAGGCTGCTGCAACATAACCTCTGATCCTGCAACTTTCATTCAGGTTCGTTATGCAAAATGCTTTTTTTGTTGTCTGTTTCATTAATGTTGTTCGTCTTCTTGGTTATAAATGATTGTGTTTGGTGCATTAGGGAGCAGTTCCACAAATCCTGGAGAATACAAAGGATGAATTCTTTTCGAAACTGATGGGGACATTAAAAGAGGCTGCCCAGAAATGCTTCGATGGAATTAAGGAAGTACCTTGTTTGACTTGCCCGAGCAAACCAGAAGGATCGATGTTCGTACTGGTGAGGCCATCGATCTTCGGAACATAAGAGGATATGTATTGGTAGCTAATCTGCATATTGTGGCAGGTGAAGCTGAATGCCTCGGTACTGGAAGACATCAGTGATGACCTGGAGTTCTGCATGAAGCTGGCTAAAGAGGAGAAAGTGGTTATTATCCCTGCCGGTAAGAGATGATAGATTTACATGCATCTGGTGCATAAAACAAAACATTGTTTTAAAAGTGATGGATTTGGACATTACAGGGACGGCTTTTGGAATGAAGAATTGGCTTCGTATAACATTTGCTTGTGAAATCTGGGCCGTTGAGGAAGGGATCAGAAGGATAAAAGCCTTTTACCAAAGGCATGCAAAGAAGCAATGAGATGAATATTTGGTGTTGGGATGGCAGATGAAACAACGTCGTGTTGGTTTTGTCTATTAGATGCTTTCTTCAAATCATTCCACTACTTGGGTTTCTTCTAATATTACTAAATAATGTGAAATCATACGATCTATGATATATTCAGAGACCAGGGAGATGGACAATTGAACTTCATGATTTTCTTTCTTACCTTTTCGAGATTAGTGTTGCTCAGAAGCATAAAATACCTGGAAAATATATTATGTTCTCACGGGATTAAGGCTGAAACTAACAAACCCTGCGCCATTAGGCATAAAAAAATATGAGTTGTGTGCTTAAATCAGCCTTCAACTTGGATGAACAATGCCTAAAACGCACTTGACTTAAAAGGGTATGACAACTTGGGTGGACGAACACATAATAAGAGAATGTTTAAGATGAGTTGATAAAACAAGATTTGAGCCGAATGCTCATATCTTTTAATTTTCACATTAAATCTATCGTGACAATGGAGGTGTGGAGAATCTTTGTTTACAGTGTTCTTACAATCGGTGGTGTCCTAATTTCACATAAACTTCATTTACTCCATCGACTAAGATTGAAAAGACTATCTACAAGACAGTCTTAATACAACTTGAAGTTTAGCTTTTATTCTTCAGTCCGTACTAGGGTTCTATTTCCTTGGTGAACTGAGTCTCTTGGGAGAAAATATCACCAGTCATCCCTTGTTTTTAATTCAATTCGAGTCATATTCAACTCATTTTGAATTGATTTGAAGATCAAAAGATCAACTGAACTAAAAGTCGATAGATCTGACCCAAAAAATAACTAATTCAATATTGATTCGATTAAAAAATCGATTGATTTGATATTGACTCAACCAAAAATTGGTCAATATTGACCAATTTGTCTCAACTCAAAAATTATCAATTCGATATTAACCAATATGATATTGGCTCGATCGAAAACTGATTAACTCGATTCAAAAAATGATTGATCTAATATTGACTCGACTAGAAAATTAAACAATTTAATATTGACCCAACTAAAAGTTGATCAATCTGATTTGACCCGGCTCAAAAAATGATCGATTTAATATTAAATCGATTCAATATTAAATCGATTCAATATTCGACTTGTGCCAACTTATCATAAACCTAAATAAAATCAATGTGACCCATATTAAACTTGAAACAAATAAAATATAAACTCAAAATAATCTAACCCAAAATTCAAACGACTTGATTGCCACTTCTATATTAAATCATTAAAAATATCTTGTTAAAAAAATTTACTCCCTCTTTCCTATAATATAATATGTATCTTATATTGACTATTTACATAATTTTAAGAGATATATTTAACTAAAAAATGATAAAATTATCCCTAAAAATGATTAATATATTTGGCAGATTTAATTTAATAAGAATAAAATACCGACACTTATAAATTAGGTAAAATATATATAAGTATTATTGTTTATTGATTTTTTAATAAAATTTTCGAATAAAATAAGTTTAAAAATAAAAGGAGAAGGCACGAAGAAAATATTTAATGTACGGAAGCGTGAGGAGTATACTGTACCTTTGTCTATAGGCTATATGAGAGGGAAAATAGAGTGGAAGGAGAGGGGGGCGATGGTACAAAAATAAGAGATGAAACACTTAACTATCCGCAAACAATGCCGCTCTCCCATAATCTAACTCCGATCTCCACGGTGACAATTTGAAGTTTGTATTTTTATCAAATAGTTTTACCCAAAATAACACAATCTACGGGGGGGGGAAATGTGTAATTGAGGTGGAAAATCCTTTTCTTCTCAACTCGGATGCATATTCTCATCTTCGGTGCTCCTTAGCCTCCTCTTCGCATAAACAAAACCAAAATAAAGGGGTGGGGGGGGAATCAGCAGCTTTATTAACAGGCAAGGGTTAGGGTTTTCATTTTCAATCTCATATCTTCCCAAATCCAAAAATAAAAGGGGAGTATAATTTACATAAAACAACTAGTACCAACGTACGTGCATATATTCAATCTTGCGGTGCAACAGCTCGTGGAGATTGGATATGTGGGCGCAAAAAAGTAATGGTAATGGCGAAAGGAGGGAATCAAGAAACACAAACCCGGCGTTGTTGGCGGTGGCCATACACAAGGACAAAAAGAACAGCCACCATGCCCTCAAATGGGCAATTGATAATCTCTTGCAGAAAGGCCAAACCGTCGTTCTCCTACATGTAAAAGCCAAACCCAACTCCAATCCACCTCGTATGTCTTTCTTCTTCTTATTCTTTAATTGATCATTCCATGTTCACCAACAAGTTTAACACTATGGTTACATGTTCACCAACAAGTTTGGTTTTGTGGTACGTCCAGGGTCGAACCAATTGCCTGAAAGCTGTGGTGATTTACCGTATGTATGTAAAGATCCCGATCCTCAAACCAGGGAACTTTTCCTTCCCTTCCGTTGCTTCTGTACTCGTAAGGATGTAAGCTTGGTTCCGACATTAAGTAGGTTTAATTTCTTATTATGTTTTTGCATTATGATTTCCAATGTTGTTAACTTTAGATACAATGCAAAGATGTTGTTCTGGAGGAGAATGACGTAGCTAAAGCGCTGATTGAATATGCCACTCATGCTGTGATCGAGGTTTTGATCATCGGTGCCTCCACAAGAGCAAGTTTTCTTAGGTATGCTATTTGTCTCTGTTTAGATCTTTAAACGGATAAGCGATCGAATTTGCATGGAAGTTCATGCTCTTAATTTTAACTTGTTTCAGTCGATTTAAAGCACCGGATATCACAGGAACCATATCGAAAAATGCACCAGACTTTTGTAATGTTTATGTGATATCCAAAAACAAAATTTCATCCATGCGATCGGCTTCTCATCCTGCTCCACCCGTCTCCCCATTGCGTAGTCAAATTCTTAACCAATCGAAACCGACTCCTCCTCCTTCTCCTCCTCCCGAGCCGCAAATCGTGCCGGCTGCAGCTAATGCCTTCAGAGGTCTGATTCATTATTGGCTTCAAGCTTTCATTAACCATTACTCAATCTTTGAGTTTAATTAGATTCTGTCCGTTTCAACAGGTGAGAAGTGGCGAGCGGAACCGCTGCGTCAATCTACCGATTCCAAAGATTGTATCAGGTATACTTTGTTGGTTTTCCTCCACATGTATCTTAATAAAATAGATCTATGTAGCTGGAGCTAATGATTATGTTGTTAGCAATATTTGGATGAATGCAGGTCACCTTTTGGCAGGAAAGGCATAAACAAACTATTTCCTGCACTCCCTAGTCCTACGCCGGATTCAGATATATCCTTCGTGAGCTCTGGTAGACCGAGCACCGTTGGTACCCTTCCCGAATCATTTGATTACCAAGATTCAAGCCGCACCAGCACTGGTCCAAGACTGTCCAACCTTTCAGATTATGAAAGTTATCTTAGGTTTGAGTCGCTGCCGTGTGGATCGAACTCAATGGATCTGAGCTCTCCACTTGATTTCCCATCAGCTTCGCCGGACAGACATTCAAACTTCTCTGGATCAACGGTAAGTAAGAAAGATATATAAGATGTACTTGTCAAAACAATGACATGGATTTGTTCTTTACATTTTTGGTGAAACCTGCAGGATGATGTGGAAGCTGAAATGAGGAGGCTAAAACTGGAGCTCAAGCAAACAATGGAAATGTATAGTACTGCCTGCAAAGAAGCACTCACAGCAAAACAAAAGGTTGGAGTGTTAACTAACATATGCTTCAATTATTCGCTTTGACTAGAGTTAGAATTTTGTGCATATATAATTACATGACAACAGGCAAAAGAACTCCAGCTTTGGAAAATGGAAGAGGAACGGAGATTGGAAGAGGCACGACTTGCCAAGGAAGCTGCATTAGTAATAGCAGAACAGGAGAAAGCTAAGTCGAGAGCGGCATTGGAAGCGGCTGAAGCGGCTAGGAGAATTGCGGAACTTGAATCACAAAAAAGAGTGAACGCAGAAATGAAAGTTGTCAAGGAACAAGCAGAAAAGAAGAAGGCACTTGACGCACTAGCAAGTACAGATTTCAGGTACAGGAAGTACACAATAGAGGAAGTCGAAGCTGCCACCGAGTTCTTCTCGGAGGCTCTCAAGATAGGCGAAGGCGGTTATGGTCCCGTGTTTAAAGGTCATCTAGACCATACTCTCGTTGCAATTAAGGTTTTACGCCCGGACGCGGCTCAAGGAAGGTCTCAATTTCAGAGAGAGGTATATATTTTGTACTTATGTATGCATGTTATCACAAGAGCATTGGTTTTAACAATTGAACTTACAGGTAGAGGTTTTAAGCTGCATACGACATCCCAACATGGTCCTCTTATTGGGAGCGTGCCCGGAGTATGGATGCCTAGTGTACGAGTTCATGGCCTACGGGAGCTTAGAGGACCGCCTCTTCAGGAGAGGAAACACTCCAACCCTCTCTTGGCAGCTCAGGTTCAGAATTGCAGCAGAAATCGGAACAGCCTTGCTGTTCCTCCACCAAACTAAACCCGAACCAATCGTCCACCGTGACCTGAAACCAGCCAATATCTTAATTGACCGCAACTTTGTGAGCAAGATCAGTGATGTTGGGTTGGCTAGGCTAGTACCTCCGTCCGTCGCCGACAGCGTAACACAGTATTGGATGACCGCCACTGCAGGAACTTTCTGCTACATAGATCCCGAATACCAGCAAACAGGCATGCTGGGAGTAAAGTCTGATGTATACTCCTTTGGGATCATGCTTCTACAAATAATATCAGCAAAACCACCAATGGGATTGGCTCACCATATGCAAAGGGCTATTGAGGAGGGGACCTTTGATCAAATGCTGGATCCAACTATCCATGATTGGCCGGTTCAAGATGCCTTGAGCTTCGCAAAGATTGCACTTAGCTGTGCAGAGCTAAGGAGGAAAGATAGGCCCGATCTCGGCAAAGTGGTGTTGCCGGAACTCAACCGATTGAGATTGCTTGTTGAAGAAGCTATGCTCTCAACTATGAAAGATGGTAGTCCAGGAGACTCCCCTAGCTATAGCCAAGCTTCCCTACGACTAGTAAGTTGATCAAATTACAATGTTTCGTCATTTTATTTTACTAACCATATCACTTGTTTTGTTTTTTGTGCGTCAGGAGGAATCAAGTTTTCCTAATTTTTCAAACTCCGATGAGGACTCAAGAAGTTAGAACCCATAGGTCTTTCCATGTGAAATTGGTTATAATTAATTATTCATATTTCGTCCCTATGCATACAACTCTTGATGAGTTGTGCTTTGCTTTTTCTATCGTCCCAAGCATCATACGTAGTAATAATGTCAACACAGTTTTTTCCGTCGTGTGACCATCAATTCAAAAATGGTGGCATTGAGGTTAGACATCTGCGTACAGTTGTTGGCGTTCTTACCGAGCCATTGTCGCAGACTTCATTTGAAATCTTCCCAAATTACCTTAAAGTTGTTGGGGCTTAAATTGAATTGCAATTTCCATTTTCTCTTCATTCGAGTCATTTTCTCTACTTCACTCGTGCCAAAAGTTGCTACCTCAGAGTTCTAATTTATCTACAAGACTCGAATAAAAATCTCTTAACCAAGTCCTCTCCATGAGATTTACGTTAAGGATAATTCTTTAAACATACGCTCCATGACTACATATAATAAGTACGTCGCTATTAAGGTCGTAAGTAAGACGAGATAACTCGTGAGTTACGAATTCAACTCGATCAAAATTCGGTCAACTCAGTTGTGAGTTACATACCTAGTTGCTATCTTCCATGCAACCCAGTCTATCATAACAAATACTACGCATTTATCAGCACAATTGAACAGGATTAGGTGAAAATCCAACCCAAAACAAATGGAGAAAACGATCGAATCGAGAACCTGCTTAAACAATCTTAAAGGGTAACAGATAGGGCAGGGCAACATATATATCTTGCCACAAAAGGAAACCACTTCACTGAATGACCCATCCCAGCCACCAAGGCACTAACCCTACAACTTCAGTAGCCCCACCAAGTACATTTTGTCACCCCAAATCCAGAAACCAGCAGTCTCAATGCTACTTACCTTCTCCTACCTGGAAATGTAGAGGTAAAAATATAAAAATAGACTAAAATATTAATACATACACCAACATACTTGAAATTTACTGCTCTTGTTTTTCCTTTTCATTTATATCCTCTTTTTTATTTTCATTTATCATTTCTTCTCCACTCTTCTATTCTGGATCAGTCAATTGTCACGGGTTGAGTCATGCAACATCTGAAGCGGGCCTTACGAACAGTTGTCATTATCTCGGTTTCGGCATTCTCGAGCATCTTTACAATTTCAGTGAAGGGAGGACGGAATTCTGGGTTAGTGTCCCAGCATCGGGTCATGATCTCACTCAGAACTGGGAGACAATCATTTGGAATAACTGGCCTAACACCCTTGTTCACCACAGCAAATGCTGCTTGCACGGCAGTCATGTTCTGGAAAGGAAGCAAGCCAGTGATGAGCTCCCACAGCACAATTCCAAAACTATACACATCTACCTTTTGTGTGTAGGGCCTGTGTTGTATCATCTCTCTGCATCAAAGACAAACACAGAATCACCAACAGTATAACTAAAAAAATCAATAAAATACTCAACGAATGGACAATTTGGATACCAAGTCAACTGGTTACATAATGAATAAAGTTTCATATGAAGGATAATTCGGTCAAAACTAATGATGAATAATGGCAAAACCAAAGCACCATCAAACACTAAGACATAGTCGAGGTTATTAAGGCAGACCCTGCACCTTCGCTCTGAACCACAAAACAATCTTAGATCAGGAAGGCACCTCTGATCAACTGCATGCCTGGTGAGCCTGGGCATACTTTTTTACGAGGCAATATGCACCGAAAATACATTCTCACTCAACTGAAGCTCTTTAATTGTTTTTAATTTTCAGTTCTTTAATTTTCTTCATCAACTATAATTATAACAGTAAAAAGAGGGACAGTATCAAACTGTCTACTTTATGTTCAAGAGCTGAACAACAATAAGGAAATCATGCATATGTTAGACCACCCTTTAGAGTTTATTAACAGAATTATATATCTTAAGCTTATTATACACACACAGAGGCACACGGAAAGAGAACATATAAAACTACACATATATACTGTGCCCTACTTCACTCAGGCAAGCACTTATTTTGCATTTCAAGCCTCGAGCAATATCAGGGGTCTAGAACCTAGAGTTCACCCCACATCCTTGACAAGACTAGGCATAGTTATAATTGATATATATAAGAAGCTAACCAGTGTTCAACACTCCATTTGAACCATGAGGGATGTTCTACTAAGAAAGTGCAAGTAACAGGACAAGTTTGGCCCAAAAATGAGTTTCCAATGCTCTCCATTTTGAACAGGAAAAGAAATTTTCATAAAACAATGCAAGTACCCTAGCAAGTTATGTTCAAAAATCAAAACTATATATTAATTACAATTTAAGCTGCAACCTGCAAGACATCAAGATAACATAAGTTCACACCTACTTTAGAGAGAGAGGCCTCAAAATCCAATCTTCTGCGGTGATAAATGTACATTCCCTAGTTATCTACTCAAACTTTCTTCTGGATAAGCAACAAATATTAAGATCTTGAATAATCTAAACATTGCATTCCAGCCAAATATATTGAACTCAGAAAAGTCTAAATCAAACACGGTCATGAAGTCAGTGCCTTCAAATTATCAAACAGAAGAATCAACCTTTTAGAAGGAAGCTGCTAGTTCATATTCAGAATTCAGAAAAAATGTAAGAGGTGCTTTATATTTGGTCGGCATTTTCTAAAAGGAATCAAAGAAAATACAATTTAAAGCTCAGAAGATAGCTTACACGGAAGGACTTATTCCTTGGCATAATTGAAACAGAATAATACAAAAGATAATCTACAGATGAACACAGTAATGCACAATCTTATGGTTTTATTCATAAAAAATCCAGAGAGTTCGTGCCAACTAGCAAGAATCATCCAACAAAGATGAAAAGAGACGCCAAATAAAAAAGAGGGTAAATGTTACATTGTAAAAGGGAAGAAACTGTAACATGCAAGGATTTGAAGACTTACGGAGCCATCCAACGATATGTCCCTGTCTCCGGCGTCATGCCCTCAGTCTGCACCTCAATACGTGCGACACCAAAATCTGCAATCTTTATTGATTTATTAGAAGCTATTAGATGGTTATCTGACTTCAAGTCCCTATGAATAAACCCAAGCCCATGGACATAGGCCATTCCTCTTGCTACATCTAATGCCTGTTTAACTGCCAATTTCAATGGCACAGCACGATTCTGTCTTCTTGTTAGAAACTGCCGAACTGAGCCCCCCTTTGCATACTCTGTCACAATGCACCAAACCATAGGCCTACGACATGCCCGATAAATCGCACAATATTTGGATGCTTCAGGGTTGCAAGCATCATAAGTTCCTGCTGAAACTGCTGCTCCATAACTTGTGCCTTCTCTGGACTATTCTCTGGCCTTTCCAATATCTTAATTGCAACATTATCACCAGTATATGTACCTCGGTACAACTTCCCAAAAGCTCCTTGAGCAAAAGCTGTACCCATATTGAGTTTTCTTAAATCAATAGTCCACTCATCATAGTTTTGCATGGCCAACTTTACCCGGATGGAACACACTCTCCCCCACAGAGTAATTGTGGCGGTTCACAGGCTTTAGACCAGGGTGGCTTAAAATGTGGGTTAGAGAATCATTAGAGCCCACACTACTATTTTCAACTGACATGGAAACAGACCCTCCGGTGCTACTAGTCTGTATACTGTCAATGGACATGTTAGTGCCCTCGCCGAGTTTTTGGTAAAACCCTTGAGTAAAATCATAGTAATTGTTGTCATTGTTGTTGGTTCCTCCTATAATTCCAGTAAATTTAGGCCCCTCAACCATTTTCCCAATCATGATGGAACCCCAAAAGCTAAAAACAGGACAAGCAGCTCCACTACACCAAAGTTTTGATGTTCATTTCATGCTGCAATCTCATCAGAAAATGCCCCAAAAGCAACATAAATGAAGGGTCAAGAACTACGACCTGACAATAAGTGCTAAAGATTATGGGCGAGCATTGCTTGGTAGGACACAGTGCTAAATTTTCTGAGTAAATCAATTCAAGAGATAGAAATTAAAACGTCCAAATGAAGTGTACATGGAGAGTATAATTCGGGAAAGAAGTCCGGAAAGCATCAGATATTCAGGCCCTTTTCTTTTCTTTTCTCGGTTAGTTACTTTCCTTGGTATTTTAACTGATTTATGAAAGGAGGTACAAGCTAACTTTTGTTTCCAGTTCTGCAATGATTGCTCATATGTTTAGTTTTAAAAGAATCATACGAAGAATAAACCGAACCTTTATTTGGCCAACCCTAGAAATTCAATTATTCGGGATCCCAATTGCTTAGTCAGAATCGGAGGCCGCAAGCCAAATTATCTGTTCAAGCAACAATCAAACCCTAAAAACCCTACTTAAAGCTAAAGATTGAAATGCAGAAGCTCAAAGCACTCAATTTTACATTAAAAAAAAGCGAAGCAGAACAAATACAAATTTTCAACCAACCAAATAGAATAGAAAATCAAAAATCTGAGTTTTTTTTTTCATATCCTTTCAAATTCCCCATCCTTCCCAATAAAAAATATTTCATTTTCTAAAAACATAAAGTATCAAAAGAAAAATATATCCCATCATAAAACAACCAAGTTGAGGCATAGATCGAAAACGCGCTGAAAGCGGCAAAAGTTTTAGCAAGGAAAGTGACAAGAAATCACATTCAAAGGGCGAAAACACATTAGAAGCATACCTGAAATATATAGATAAGACCAAATTTGAATAAATAAGTGATGGAGATGCTTAATCTGATAAATTCACGAAATGCCTCTTGGAAGAAGACACGAAGAATAGTGAGCATAAAGATAGGGCAATGAAAAGGTAAAAGAGAAGGGCAAAAACAATAAGAAGAGAGCAGAACAAATAGACAAAGATAGAAAGAAGAAGAAAGGAGCAGCAGCAGTCTACGCTTCTCTTTTT